ATATGGATAACAATAAATCGCATCCACACCGAAAATGACCCACCTTATCGTGACCTCTGCACGTCCACTTCTGGCCACCTTATCGTGGCTTCCACAGTGCACCAGTGCACCACCCCCATGACTGCAAACAACAAGATCGACATGGCAACAAGCAAAATAACATAAAATAACCATAATATTCGACACCGTTGTACCTGGGGTGGGGAAGGCGTAAAGTATTTCATATTTTCCGTCGATCATGATCTCATAATGTCGAATTCCAGGAAATTGGTTTCAACCAACCGAACAATAGAAATGAATTTAATGTTCCATGGTCCTGTGCAAGAATCATACAACAAATTCTATATAAAGGGGGGAACCAATTTATGAATCTCGAGGGAATGACATGGAACTTTAAATTCATCGAATTGAAATCCTGTGCAAGTTCATTTCGGAGAAACTTCGTGTGACCCTGCACCGAGCTTACTCCAAGCATCGCTTGTGCAATAGTGAGGAACTGCTTTCTACAGCAGGAGTTGCTGGCATCTGCAGCAAGGAAAAATTATCTCGGAAGGTTTTCCAAATTCTCCTCTGGGCAAATGATTTCTTATGGGAGAATGGGATCCTGGTACAGCCCCAGGTGGCAGGAGCTTCCTGCGCTGGCTTTTAAAAACTGAAGCATCAATCCTCGTCCATAAAAGAAACTGGTGCAAAAATATGCTGGTTCTCCAACCTCTGCATTCCTCCAACAGAAACCTTTTCAAACCATCAGTTGACCAGATTCTGCAGGAACAGTTACAAATCGCGCACCACTCGATTCGCAGGATCAATTTTGTAAACATTGCAACCACATGCAACAACAACAATTTATGGTAAAACTTTAACAGATTTTAACAGTATCTTCTTTTGTGCTATCCGACCTGCTGAATGAGTCGACGTACTGAGTCTGAGTCCCTCAGACCCCCAGTGACCAGAACAACTGGTCTAGTAAAGCAGTGACTTACGCACCGTACGGAAAGCTCCAGGACCGCTGATTGCACCGCTCACGGCGCGTGACACGGACATGAAGATGTGGGTCGGTCAAAAAGCAACATGAAAGTGAAAGACATCAATTGCTGCTGAATCGCAGTCTCATGCCACGGTCCCGGAATCCGAAGAAAGTGTCCACCATCTCCAAGGTTCCAAAATCTAAATTTGGTGAAAGATTCCTCCAACACCTCTCCAGTGCCTTGAATGACCTGCATGCGCTCAGCATGCGCACAGAGCGAAGAAGCCCTTCATTTGGTACTTGCCACTTGGAATTTTGAGAGGATCGGTACTACATCGATCTCAAACCAATCCGAAATTACCTGGTGAAAAAGCAATGAGTTCACTCCAATGCTCATTTGCATGAGCTCATCTTGGCTTTCTGGTGACAACGGATGGCTCTTTTCAGAGATAGGCGACCGGTCGAGGCTGGTTGACCAATTTGCAGAGCTGACAGATCCACCTCAGTTGACAGATCCGAGGTTGTCAGATATGGCACTTTGACAAATATGTGAGGGGACGTGCGCATGTGACCAGCGAGATGAACAGGCAGCCATTACATCGTGACCGGCATAGTTCTTTTGCTCCCTTCCACATCGACATGAATTGTTTTCCGCATTAACTATATAATCTAGCAAGTCGAAAACAGTCAAAAGCAGTTTCCATGTTTTTTTCACACTTTGATATGTTCATCCTGAAAATTGAGCCTGATGATTGAGAATCAAAGGCCATTTGACCGCTTGAAAGACTAAGATCAAGCAGGGCCGAGACCGGTGGTTTTGTGTGTTATCCTAAGCTTGGACCATCCGAGTCATGCCAATGGAGGTTGAACCAAGCAAGGCAGCCCAAAACGCTTGGTTCACCAATTCGACCATGGAATTGGCCAACATCGGCCAACTTTTGGACCAGCGGAATTGGTTGAACAAGCTCCTACTTCGACTACCTATTCGTTGCCGCAGTCCCCAGAGCCTTCCTTGCCGGTCTCAGCTAAAGGTGTATGTTCCATTCTTCTTCAGTTTCTCACTGGGATTGTTCTCCCATGTGAAGGTCTGAAAAGGAGAGCCCCCAAAGATGCTTGCCGAATTGCCTGCATCAAACTCTTCAAAACGCCCAAGAAAAGACTTTGAGAGAACCAGGAACCTCTTTTCTGCGCTCGAGTTCGACCGAATGCTTCCTGTATCCAAACCTCGCACCATGATCACCATGGTTTGAAACGCCGCGTTCGTTCTCGGTGTTCTCGCCCAGTGGCCCGACTTCAAGGGCCGCACGGCCTAATACGGGAGACGAGACGAGTTTCGAACGTTCCTTATTTCGCTGTGTTTTCTCATGTTTTGTCATTGAAACATCTGAACGATATAAAAAAAAATGATCAAAATACACAAATTCGATCCACCTCGATCCGACACAATGCTGAGAATTGGATAGACTCCTGGGTTTGAATGCAGTTTGCATGTGCTTCGATTCAAGAGTTGAACAAGCTCCGGAAATATTATATATTCTATAATTTGTGCACAGTCATTCTCAAAATTAAGAAATAGATTGAGTATCCAAAAGCTGACACTCTCCAGCGACTAGAGGATGACTACAACAGAAAGTCTTGAACAAATGTGGACTGCTTGGCGAGGGTATCATCCCATTCGGCGAACAAGGAACACCTTCTTTAGTCTTTACACACCAATACCGAAGGGGAGATTGGGGCGACGCCCCTATTTCATCCGGTCGCTTGGGCGAAGTCATTGAGGCAAAGCGCCAGGTTTTGGGGTTGGAAGGCCCAGAAAGGAAAAGGAAACAAAACAAAACAGCTGTTCATCATTTCCAGCTAATCTTGCGAGTGCAACACAATGAGGTGTCCAATGTTTCCAACCATTGATCAACCATGACGACCCCCCAAAAAAGGGCTAAAATCAGTCTCACCTGTTGTGGCACACGAAACGTCGCTCCAGATTTTGTCTGAGGTGCATTTCCTTCGGAAGAAATTGTGCTTACCCGCCGCCAGGTTAAGCAATTGCAGCTCTCAAGTGCCTTTGCGAGTTCATCCATACCTGAAAAAACCGGGCGGGCCTAAGTTCACCATTTTTTTCTCTGAAGGCCACTTGTTTGGGGTGAAGCGTCGTTCACGCGGCTGGCTTAGAAATGTTCACTCTCCATCCTCCTAGTGTCCAGGAGAAACTCCAATCTTCTAATAGTCGAAGATCTGGGAATCAATGACTTCCTCTACTAACCAGCATGGATGGGGACTAGGGAGACCAACAGTTGCCAAACCATTTTGGGAAAACGGACTTTCTCCCATCGTCGGAGCAGGACTGGTCCCCCGAGGTCGGGATCCTTGTTGAATCACGGTGGCCGAACCAAAGTCCACCGATGGGTAATCACCGGGACCTTCACCAAGAAAAACTGTGAGATTAGACGTATTAAGGTCTTTGACATTGGACACCTGGTGGATATTTTGACACCATCTAAACCTCTAGCTTGAGACACCATCTGTGTTTTGCGCAGTAAAGAAACACGTGATACAAATCTGATTCAATCTCTCACAACTGACAACACGGGGCTTTGACCAGGCCACAGCTCCATGGGACTCCGCCATACTCCGTCGTTGCCTTCTCGGGTTTTGTGGCTGGAGTCTCAACAAGTTGAGCATGGCTGAGTTTAAGATACTATCTGATTCCCAATATTAACATCTGAGTCTGCATGGATCTGCAAGCACGTGGCCCTTCTTGAACCCTTCCACCATGTCTCGTCCTACGTCTCGTTCCTACTGATCTCTCAGCTTTTCAAAACATCCCTTCAAGATGGTCACCGGCCAAGAGTCCCAGATCACGCGCTAATAGCACCCAGGGCTGGAAGTAGGTCGCATAGAGGATCCTCGAGGCATCGATGAGTATGAGTATACGGCAAACCGACTCCACATGCGGACGTTCGTCTCCAAACACCTGCGAAGTCCTTCGGTGGCCAAACGTCCCGATTTAAGGACACCATGAGCTGATTCAAAGGTGTCTTCGAAAAATGGGTAGACCAAAAATGTCCAATTAAGAGAAAAACACCATTCCCGTTCGTTGCCTCTCACTGACATCCCCATGAAAGGAGAAAAAATGACGAAAGTAAAGGTGGACACCTTGTTTTTCTTCCACGAAATCAACACCATCAAGCCTGACGGCGGCCTGACAGCATCGAAAAGGATCAACACACGTTGACACAGGTCGACACATCTTCGGGTCGATCCCAACAAGTGCAAAGTCACGGACGAAGTCACGGACGCAGCACACCTGAAGAAGCCATGACCTTTGCTTAGCTTTTGGAGATGGAGATCGCTGCTTCGTTAACTACTATTCCCCTGAAACCAAAAGAGCTAGGCAGCTAGTCAGATTTCTGAGAAATTACTGGGTGGTTCAAGCTGGCATCTGCCAACATTCACTTCCGGACTTCCAGGACATCTGAATTCCGGAACAAATGTCCATGCATGTCTGTCTTCTGACCAAAGGGAGTCCTACGACGAGTCGTTGTTGGCCCAAACTGACACCGGACACCGTTCTGACTCCGAACTGCCACAGGTAGACTGTTGATGACCAAACAAAGCACCATGTAAAGCATCGTAAAGCCATTCCGGAGAGAGGGGGAGTCATAAGGTTATAATATTCATCAACCATCTACACGACCTTCTGCAGTCTGTTTGCCTTTCCCCTACCCACGTCTCTGTCGAAAAGCAAGCGACGGAGACCTCCCCGCGCGGAAGGCCATGCTACGGGCCATCAGCGCGATCACCGTCGCCTGGTCGTCGCGATCACCGTCGGACGAGACGAATCGTCGGCGTGACCGGTACGACCAGTGGTCGGACCCGACAAGTCAAATGGTCGTTACAGTGGTGTGACGATCAATCGCAAGGCTTTGTCGAGCCATGAGAATTCATACATGGATCTTCCAACTGTGCAAAATGTCTGCCTAACTTGGCCGGATTTTTAGATGAAAAGGTAGAAATTCTGAAGAGTTGGAAGATCCAGGTATGTATGGAATGACGAGTTGAACTTTGGAACATATTCCTGCCCAATAAGTTTGACATTTTCATCTGCAGTGCTTTCTGGTGACTCCTTGCACCTTTAGGGTTGTCCCAAGCATCATGCCAAAAAACGTTGAACCTGGTCATTCCAGAGTAATTAGCGAAGCAAATCCCTTCCTCGCTTCCCGCTGCCGCGCCTGCACCAAGACCTCGAAATGCTCCTTCGAGACATAGGACTCTTCAATCTTCATCTCAAGAATGCGACGATCTTCTTCTACATGACCTGCGAGATGCAGAAGAAGAATTCATGGTGTTTATCCTGCAATCTGGTGGAGTCAGGGACTTGTGGATTGGACAACGGACGCTTTTTCCAGTGTCTTAGGGACAGACACTGAAGAGGAGGCTTAACCATGGCAGGAGGCTCTGGGGGCCTGACACTGGTATGAAGTCTTTCCAAAACGGTTTAAAAGTGTTTGCAGGCCCATAGTCATGCTTGGTCTGTAACTCCCATGGCCCAGGAGTATGTATAGAATATGTGTTCCAGCCGTCTGGAAGGAACACATCTCCAGCACCAAACCGCACGACTTGCATTCTTGGGGGTGTAATTCATGCACTGCGTTTGGCCAAGGAGCACTTGGTTTGTTTCAGTGAAAAGTTCCGAACGGCTTCAATGTACAA